TGATCAAATGTGGATGGTATTTGACAGTATTATAAAATCCTCATAGCACTTATTCCTGGCAAGTAGTTCCTGACTCCCTTTCTTAGAAGGATCCCTGGAAACTCTGATGCCCTCCTGCTTTCTTCAGGATAGAATCGATCAGACCTCTCTCTGCTCTTCATTTGCAGGGAAACCTGCAACCTCCTTCTTTCAGAAGGGGTTCCCTTTCCAAGCACTTAAGGTAGAAATGAAATTTCTGGTCAGCCATGCAGATCTGGGGAAATCGTGTTCACCAGGTGCACTGGTCCACCTACAGGAGCTCTGAATCAGGTCATTCTGGGGAACTTTCAGCATAGTAACAAAGTGAGGCAGAGCAGCAGGGAGCCCATAGGAAGCTCATACTGGTTGTGGAGACAAGCGTCACTGACCCGTGTCAGTCCTCCCTCAGGCTGGCCAGGGATGTCAGGATTTCAGGGGAATTCTGCTCCCTTGGCTCGGATCCCCTCAGGAATGCTTCATTAAAAGAACAGAACTCGGATTTTGTTTTGTCTCGCATCAGAAAAGGTTTTCAAGAACCAGTCATCAGAACCTTCAGGCAAGCCCTATATTTAGATACTGGTTTAACTGGATGACTCTATCAATTATTGACTGCGTTGACTGGTATTTCTCTTTATACAGAAGTGACTGTTATTTTTACCCCTGAAAGAGATGGTAATACTTAATTTCTCTGTAAGATCCTTTCAAAAAGAAAAGTCTTTTGCATTTTCATGGTTCTTATTTTCATGAAACTGAGTACTTTGAAGGTTAGTATTATAGGTAGCTTAACCTTTTTTGTTTTTTTTTTAATTTTTTTTTTCAACGTTTTTATTTATTTTTGGGACAGAGAGAGACACAGCATGAACGGGGGAGGGGCAGAGAGAGAGGGAGACACAGAATCGGAAACAGGCTCCAGGCTCCGAGCCACCAGCCCAGAGCCCGACGTGGGGCTCGAACTCACGGACCGCGAGATCATGACCTGGCTGAAGTCGGACGCTTAACCGACTGCGCCACCCAGGCGCCCCATGGTAGCTTAACCTTTTATGAAATTTCTACACTGTGCCATTTGATTAAAAAATATATAGATGCAAATACAACAAGTTTATTCAGATAAAAGACATCACATCTGTTAACCAGAAATGGAAATATTAAAACATAAGGTGTAAAAATTAAACTCTCTCTCTCTATTCAGAATACCCTAGGTTTGCATTGTTTTCCAGAAGTTGGAAAACAGACAGTTCCACCCTCATGTGGTTTAGAGCAGGGACTCTGGAGCCAGGTGGCCTGGGTTTGAATCCCAGCCCCACCACTTCCTTGTGCCCTTGGGCAGGTTCCTTATCCCGTCTGTTCTTCACTTTCCTCATCTGAAAAGAGATGCTAGTACCTACCTCAGAGGACGGCAAGGATCAAATGAGTTATACTGCAAAGCACTTAGAATGATATCTGACCCATAATAAGTGTGATACAAATGCTTGTGTGGTGGTGCTACCCAGGAGAGTGGCCTCAGTTCTCAGCTCTGTCCTAAGTCATTATGTGGCCTTGGCAAGTCCTTTCCCCTTCTGTGTTTTTTCAGTTCCGATGGTCTGTGTTTCTAAGCCCATGATGTAAACATGTGGCAACTCAGTATTTAGATTCTGATGAGGTGGTAAGCCAAGGGATGCAGAAACAGGGCTAGAAGCCGGGTCTCTCCAGTCTCCAGCTGGTATAGACCTTCCTTCAGGTGCCCCTCAAGGCTGGGGTTGTGGCCCAAGTGTTTCCCAGTGAGGAAGAACACTTTATTTTAACATTTTCTTAACATTATTAAGGATATACAAGCACATGGTTCATTGTTTTGTTTTTTTTTTTCCTTTTTAACTATAGACTTTCTTTTCTTTTGAAAGTTTTCCACTCATGTCGTTTTTCTGTTCCATGATCTACTTCAGGATACCACATTGCATTTCATCATCCCATCTCCTTAGTCTCTCTGTTTTCTTTCTTTCTTTTTTTTTAAGTTTTTATTTCTTTAAGTAATCTCTATACCCAACCTGGGGCTCAAACTCATGACCCCGAGATCAAGAGTCACATGCTCCTCTGACTGAGCCAGCTGGGCGCCCCTCTGTGCTTTCTTTTTTTTTTTTTTTTAATTTTTTTTCAACGTTTTTATTTATTTTTGGGACAGAGAGAGACAGAGCATGAACGGGGGAGGGGCAGAGAGAGAGGGAGACATAGAATCGGAAACAGGCTCCAGGCTCTGAGCCATCAGCCCAGAGCCCGACGCGGGGCTCGAACTCACGGACTGCGAGATCGTGACCTGGCTGAAGTCGGACGCTTAACCGACTGTGCCACCCAGGCGCCCCCCTCTGTGCTTTCTACTTGATTGATCTGTTTTTTTTTCTATTTCATTTCCCTTCCCTTTCTTCCCATCAGTTTCATGGTTTTATATTCTTCATCTATTCTTTTAGAAGTTTCTAACACACTGTGTTTCCTAGGATATGGAGAGGTAATCCCTTCTGCACATTGCAGTGCTGGTGTAAACCAGGCCTGCTTCTAAGGGGCAAGTATGATGTACATAACTTTTGAACGAGAAGTTCTCTTCCAAGGACTCGGTCCTACAGATTTATACACTTGTACACACATGCTAGGTTACTCACCAAGCACATGATTTTTCTGAGATTTTAGTAGAATTTTTAGAGGGAGAGGAAAGACATTTATTCTGGGTTTGTTTGTTTGTTTGTTTGTTTGTTTGTTTAACGTAGGCTCCATGCCCGACGTGGTGCTTGAACTCACAACCCTGAGAACAAGATCGCATGTTCTACTGACCAGGACAGCCAGGTGTCCCCATTCTGACATATTTAACCAAAGTCCTGCTGATCACATTTTGGCTATAATATTTAATTATTTCTCTCTCCCTCTTTGTTTCATTCCTGAGTGTGTATGGTTGAATTTGTACAAGTTAAATGTGCTGCCAATGAGACTCCATGGCGACTCTGGGGTGGTGGCTGTCAGCACTGGCCTGCACACTGGAACCACTTGTGGAATTAAAAAAAATTGTTTTTTTTTTAATTTTCTTAAAAAAAATTTTTTTTAACGTTTATTCATTTTTGAGAGAGAGACAGAGCATGAGTGGGGGAGGGGCAGAGAGAGAGAGGGAGACACAGAATCTGAAGCAGGCTGTAGGCTCTGAGGTGTCAGCACAGAGCCTGACGTGGCACTCGAACCGATGAACTGTGAGATCATGACCTGAGCCAAAGTTGGACACTTAACTGACTGAGCCACCCAGGCTCTCTAAAAAAATTTTTTTCTAAGGTTTATTTATTTACTTAGTGCTACCCAGGGAGGAGCAGAGAGAGACAGAGAGAGAGAATCCCAAATAGGCTCCATGGGCAGTGTGGAACTGACACTGGGCTCAATTTCATGACCAGGAGATCATGACTTGAGCTGAAATCAAGTTGGACGCTTAACCACTGAGCCACCCAGGTGCCCATGCTTGCGGAGTTTTTAAAACAATGCTGATGTCCTCATCCTGCCTGTAGAATGCTGATGATTTGGCTGTGGGGTGGGATGGGGCAGGCATTTTATAGAAGTTCCTCAGGTGATTCTACTTCAAAAGCATGGTCCTTGGGCCAGCAGTACTGGCTCTTAGAAGTGAATAACAAATACAGAATCTTAGGGCCTGCCCCAGCCATACTGAGTCAGAAACTGCATTTTAATAAGATCCCTAAGTGATTCATATACATATTCAAATGTGAGAAGCATTGGTCTAGACTGGTGGTTTTCAACCTCTGCTGAGGCTGGGCTGGATTGTGATCACTGTGATCCTGGGGTTTCTATGACACTGCTAATAAGTCTAGTAGCAGCTGTAATGATGCTTTTTTTTTTTTTTTTAAGTTTATTTTTGGAAGAGAGAGAGAAAGTGGGGGAGGGGCAGAGAGACAGGGAGAGAGAGAATCCCAAGCTGAGTCCCATGTGGGGCTTGAACCCACAAACCATGAGATCATGACCTGAGTCAAAATCAAGAGTTGGATGCTTAAACGACTGAGCCACCCAGGTGCCCCATGACGATGCTTTTTGATCAGTGTATTCATTTGTCCTCCTTGGGAGCATTGTTGTAGGATGATTAGTTGTAGGATGGTTAGCGCTTACAGCAAACTTATGAGATCTCTCCTTTAAGTCTAGGCTGGGGTCTGGGGCAGAGCACAGCTAGCCAGACTATGTGAGTCCCTGAGCCAGGAAACTTCCAGCCTCAGTGAGAAGCAGCAAGTAGATCTATCCCTGCCCTCTGGGAATTCCAAACTGTCTCAGCCTGCAGCAACAGGTGGGGTGCATGAACTCACACAGGTCTTTTCTGTTCCTGGAAGGTCTGGAGGTCGAAGAACCCACTGTATATTCGTGCATGATCCAGGCAGCTGCACAGCAGAGAGACACCTGCCTAACTATCACTCCAACGGTGTGGGGCGAGAGGCACCTGCCGGACCAGCTGGCCTCAGTGACCAGAATCTCCTCCTCTGATCTCTCCCTGGGTCATGTGACCCGGGCCCTGTGCCGAGGCATTGTTCAAAACCTGCACTCCATGCTTCCATTTCAACAGCTCAAGGAGTGGGGTGTGGAGCGGGTGATCGGCAGTGGGAGTGCGCTGTCCAGGAACGAGGTTCTGAAGCAGGAGGTGCAGAGGGCGTTCCCTTTCCCAGTGTCCTTTGGGCAGGATGTGGACGCAGCTGTGGGGGCAGCTCTGGTCATGCTCCGGAGGAACCTTAACCAGAAGGAGTCTTAATACATTCTTTGGCCAAAGGACTTGCAAATTTTATCTAATTAGCAATTCTCACATGACCTTGGGGTCATCCTTTTCCTGGACACATTTGTGGGCAGCTTTTTTTTTTTTTTTAATTTTTTTTTTTTTAACGTTTATTTATTTTTGAGACAGAGAGAGACAGAGCATGAACGGGGGAGGGTCAGAGAGAGGGAGACACAGAATCCGAAACAGGCTCCAGGCTCTGAGCTGTCAGCACAGAGCCTGACGTGGGGCTCGAACTCACGGACTGTGAGATCATGACCCAAGCCGAAGTCGGCCGCTTAACCGACTGAGCCACCCAGGCGCCTCTGTGGGCAGCTTTTAAGCAAAGCTTGTTCTCAGGGCACCATCTTGACCAAGAACCTACGTTCAGGGCATACTCTAATAATGCAACCAGGACTCATCAACTGGATCCCAAATCAGTACTTTCCAAAAGAGACTCACCTGGGAACTGGACCCAAATATAAATATGGTGAAGAGAGAGAGAGAGAAAGAAAAGGAACAGTACCCCAGCATCCCGGTCAGCAGGCTCATCTATGACTCACCTGTAGACAAAGAGAAAATAAATATGGACTTTAGGCACCAAAAAGTCTGGTGACTGTGTGCTCAAAGTAAGAAAAGAAGACCCCTCCCCCCCCAATCCAGCTTTTGGATTGTTTTTAAAAGGACATGAAACCCAGGCTTGGGTCACATGCACTGTTGGAAAAGTCCTTCCCTACTGGATTGTGCCATGTGACCCTGAGGTCCCTTTCTCACTCTTGTTCTCCCTTGGCCACAGCTGGTTATAGCTGAGGCAGGGGGTCACCCGGGGCAGTAAAGCAGACTGGCTGAGATGAAGATGCAGGGATCCATGCTGCCTTCTCACCATGCACTTCCCCTCCAAGGACAGCCTGCTGCACTGGAGCTGCTCCAGATCCTCAACACAACTGGCTTGAAGGCACAGAGCAGGGAAGGAAAGGTGGGTGGCATGACCAGCAAGGGGGACGGATGCTATGTGGCCCCACCATTCAAGCACATTGTTCCCAATAGTCTGACCAGGCAGGACCCTTTTTCGGGGGTGTGTCTGGGCAGCAGTGTATTTTTCTCCTGCACATTCTTGGGAGGTCTTCCAAGGGAAGGGATGCAGCTGGGCATGCTCCTGTCAGAGAGGATGGTCAGTTTAATCATAGAGAACCCCTTATCCTGCAGGCCCTAGATTTTCTTTCTCTTGGTGTCGGCCTTGCTGGCCTACCATGTGTTTCTGGCCTGCAGAAACATCCCACTGGAGTCAGCATCCATGTGGGGGTCCCAGAGCATCTTAAACCTTTCTGTAGTTGGTAGGGATGACCATGGAATGGCTCCAGGAAAAGGCTGTCATTCCTGCATCTAGTTCCAGACTCCTAAGAGTGATCCCAAGGCTCAGGCAGGCCTGACTCTGAGACTCCTAGGCAACTATGAGTTTGGGAAGTGGCCATGTTGTTTCTTTGTAAAGGTCACTTTATGAATTATGTGGTTGTCTGAGCTCTTAGATTAATCTGCCTTGCCATGCTGATTGGATTTCAGATACTAAAGCTCATTCTTTCAGAGCTTTGTCCCTGTAATAAGACACACCTCTCTGCTTTGGGAACACTGTAAATTATGGCATAGCTGTAGGGCTTGGTTTGGCAGGTTGGACATAAGGATCATCTGTAGGTTTTCTGCAGAAAACCCCACCTGCTCCATGATTGTACCAGGACAAGTAGCTGAAGATCACTCAGGAAAGTCATGTGAGTTTTCTCTCAGCCAAGATGAGTTGACACCATTATTCTGGAGCCCCTATGGAAGGCCTGTGAGAGAGGTCACCTTGGGATAGGCCGAAGGATAACAGATAGCCTCTCCATCAGGAGGAGTTGGCCCTCTGACTCCTGGGAGGCAGCCTGTCTTGTATTCTCAGGGTGCTATGGATGGAGCCTGTAAATGTAAGATTAGGAACTGGATGCAAGGCCAGGTAGCCCAGACCAGTGCCCAGTGCGGTGCCAGAACTCTCTGTTCCCTTTCCACATGTCCACTCTATCTCTGAGGGCTGAGCCTTGCGCAGTCCAAGCTTGCCAGCTAAAAGCTCTGTTACTGTTTTTATTGCACAGGCCTGGAGCCTCTGCAGTGGGGTTGAGCACAGCTTCCAGGGCCTCATTTCTTCAGCCTGAAATCATAAACCACTCACTGCTTTTGCCGTCATTCCCTGGAGGTACCAGTAAGTGTTTGATACCAGTGTGATCCTCAGATGAGGAACTGGCCTTTAGGACTGTTTGCCCATATCCTGATCTTACGAGCAGGCGGTAGACTTGCACTTTCTCCCCAGATTTGCTTTGGCCAGCAAAATGTGACCAGAAGTGTTCTACTTCTAAGCAGAGGTCCTTAGGAGCCAGTGTGTGATTTTCCACACTCTGTTCCCTTTGCCAGGAGTGACTGGTGGTGTCCCAGAGAATGGAGGCTCTGTCAGCCTGCGTTCCATGTTAGGGCACTATGGTGTAGAACCCTCACCAACAAATGGGCAACATGAAATGTGACTGAGAAATAAACCTTTGATGTTTGAAGCCACCGAGATTTGGGTTGTTGCCACAGCATAACAGTTTATCCTGACCACTACAACCACAGTAGAGACTGTGTCTAAGAAGCCTCAGCTGCACCCAGCAAAGACCCAGACATTTATTGAGCACCCACTAGGAGCTGGGTGTTCTGTCAGGACAGGGCTAAATTGCCAACACTAGGACAGATTAACACATGTGTGCAGAAGAAGGAACAATTCATTCTTTATGTAAGTGACATTAAGCTAAACCTTGGAGAGTTTCAGTCCATCAATACCAACAGCAGTTAACATTTTTTGAGCTATGTAGTAGGAGCTAATCTATACTTGTTTGGACCTATTTGATCTATATGGTGACCCTAGAAGGTGGGTACTATTATCTTCATTTCTCAGATGAAGAAACCGAGACACAAGTTAAGTAACCTACCTAAGATCAGAACTCTAAGATTCAACCCCAGAGCCCATTTTCTTTAGCATTCTAGGCTGAGAGAGCAGGTGTATTCACATGAAAGTGACCGGCATGAGCAGGGTGTGATGAACTGTCTGGTGTAACTTGGTCACAGGGCTTATGAAAGGGTGTGATAGAACTTATGGCTGGACGTGTTGACCAAACTGTGAAGGGTCCTAGATGCCAGACTGAGGGGTTTAGACTTTCTCCTGTGGGCAGCAGAGTGGAGGACAGACTTCATGAGCTTTAGGAGTGTAACTGTCAGCCATGGGGACTTTAGAGTGGAGAATGGGTGTTACGGGAGGTGGGGGCCCAATTGGAGGGGCCTAGAAAACAGCTTGTGAGAGACGGTAGGCCTGAACCAACGTGGGGGCAGAGCCTGCCACACATACCCTTCTTTTGGCCCTTGACTATGACTAGATGCATATAATGTTTATGTGGCTTTCATGTTCTTTATTCTTCTCAACTGACTGAAAGCTGCTTGAGGGCAGGCTTCCTCTTAGGTGTTCTCTGCCCTGCCCTTCTCCTTAATCTTGGGCTGATGCCCATGTTTGAATGTCCTTCTCCTGGGGAAGAACACAATACCTTGTCCAAGGCCCAGCTCAGATGCTCTCTTCCTGCTGCACAGTCTCCCTGGAAGCACATCTGTGACTGGATTATAATTGCAGCTGGCATCTGAGACCCAACTCAGTGTTTGCTGTTGGCATCGCCTGTTGGCTCCTGGCTTGTGCCTGTTACAGCATGCCCCACCCAGTAAAGCGTCAGAGAGAGCCTAGCAGTTTTTCCTCATGTGTCCTGGCCTTCTTGAGGTCAGAGACCATCTTATTCATCCTACTCACTTGCTGTGGTTTGCTAGTGCTTGGTGGGGCTTCAGGGTAGAGGGTGGTTTGCACTTGACCTCTCAGCCACGATTAGATGGACAGATAGCCCATCTTTGAAATTGAGACATTCTGGGTTTAGAGATGTTCACTGTGTGACTCATGAAACATTAAGCAAATCTTGTTTTTTTTTCATTAAAAAACAATTAGTCACAACCTCGAGCTAATGGCCGGAGATAGCTCAACAATCAGCAGATGCGGTTCTCTTCTGAAATAATGATGATGAGAACAATAACCCCTCATGCTTGCCTAGAGCTTTATCAGCTCACAGAGACCATTGATTCACATCCAGTATTCTTATTAATCCCCAGAAAAGCCTCATAAAGCAGGCAGGGCAAGTGCCTTCACCCATTTTGGGGATAAGGACCCAGAGCTTCAGCTATCAGCCCAAATTTATGGAGCGGGTGTCTGCTGGGCCCGTCTGGGTCTCCTCTCCTGCCTCTATTCTCTGCCCATGCTCCTGACCCTCCAATCTCTTCTCTCTCTTGTTGCCAGTACCCGCCCTGGGTCCCAGCTCTGCAGAGAGGGGCTCAGCTATTGGGTGCTGAGTGGATGCCTCATCCCTCCCCAGCTTAGATGGCCAGCTCCATCCACTTCTGGAGTGCGCTGTCCCCTCTCACAGAGCCCTGCCCTCCATGGGAACTGACTCAGGTGGGTACCTGGTGACACTAATGCACAGACCAAATGCAGAAAGGAAAGTAGTTTTCTTCTAAGTCTGCTGTTTGCCATTTGTATCCGGGATCCCTGAAGCCATTTAAAATCTGGGAAGCAAGACACAAAAGTCAGGAAGTTAAAAATCCACCCAAGATTTAGAAATTCCAAGATAAGACCGGTAGAGTTGGCACTGTCCTCAGGTGGGTTACAGGTACTCGCGGTGGTGCTTTAACCACCTTCTCTGGGGCCAGAACTAGCTCTGCTTATTCCTACTTGGGTCCTCCCAGAAATGAGGGGCTGACGGTTCCTGATTTGGGTAATCAGGCTTTTATTAGCACACGACAGTTTGCTGGTTTCTAGCTGTACCAGAAAGTTTTGCTTCAAATCCATGAGGGACTCAGATGAATGAAGAAAATAAATGAGGATCCCATTGCCAGGGTCAAGGGCTGAGTTTAAGTCAATGTGCCCCCTGGTGGTGACGCTAAAGAACTGCAGCCATTGATGACCTGGGGCCCAGCCCACTTGGCCCACCCCCGTGCTGGTGTGGCCCCTAGCACTTTGCTGCACTGCCTCTTGTTCCCATCAGACCTGAGCTTGGAGTACGCGCCCCCTCCCATAATTCATCACTGAAATGTGATCTACTTACAAAGAGTTTTAATGGATACATCATTACATAGATTCAAGAACACCTTGTTGACAAAATACCACCCAGAAAACCAGGCTGATGGCAGCAGTGCTCAACCCTAAGGTCTTGTGTCTGCTGCCATTTCTTGAGTTTTAGTAGAACCACTCAGTGCAGGTTTGGCTCAGATAAAACCATGCCAATAAATGTATATGTTGTGCTCCTTTGGGCAAGTTGTGGAGCTAGGTAGGCTTAGAGAAGGAGAATTGAGGGTGCAAGAGCCCTGTCACTCTGGAGCTATTAAAATCTGCCAAATAAGACACAAACCTCAGAGCAGTTAAAGCTCAATACAAGCTTTAGGAAGCTTCAGACAAGACTAGTAATGGTTGTCACTGTCCTTGGGCAGGTAACATAGCCTGTCTATACTTCATTTCCTCATCCATAAAATGGGGGACAAAATCAGACTCTCCTCATGAAACTTTGTGAGAGTCTGATGAGCTAATGCATAAAGTGCTTATCCCAGAACCTGGCACACTGCATGGTCTTAATAAACATCCACTGCTATTATCGTTGTCTTTGTGATCACATGCACTGGTTGCTGCAGGAAGGTGCGGGTCTAGATTTCTGTAGGGGTTTAGAGGTGAGCACTTTGGCTGGGCCCTTGGTGGAGAGGCTTTTTGGAAGAGGTGGAGTTGAATGATAGAGCCTCAGCATCCAAAGGTCCCACCTGCCACCTGGGCCTTAAAAGACAGGTTAAGTCGATGCATAGTGCAAGCACGTTGGGCAGAAAGAGGGCAGGGGGAGGGGGTGGAGGCAGGCACAGTTAGTATGGCTTGGGAGGAGATGTGTCCAGGTAACAGAAGGGGCTGGGCCACAGTGGGAGTGGAGACTGGGGTTGTCGGCTCAGGGTACCAAGCCGAGGGGTAGGGCCTTATTCTGTAAGGGGGTGCAGTCAGGAGGATATCCTAGGTCTGGGGATTGGGAGGTCATGAGTCAGGGTGCTGGGCGCTTCTGGTGCCTCAGGTGAGAGGACGTAGCTGCCAGCCGCAGAGAGAGATCCATATGAGCCACAGAAACGTAGCCTGGACAGAAACAGAGAAGGAGAGGCTGTAGATGACAAAGTATGTCAGACTTTGACATAAGAAAGCTGGTGCCTTAGGGGCGCCTGGGTGGCTCAGTCGGTTAAGCGTCCCACTTCAGCTTAGGTCATGATCTCGCGGTTTGTGAGTACAAGCCCCACGATGGGCTCTGTGCTGACAGCTCGGAGCCTGGAGCCTGCTTTGGATTCTGTGTTTCCTTCTCTCTCTTCCCCTCCCCCACTTGTATGCTCTATCAAAAATAAATAAATGTAAAAAAAAATTTTTTTAAATGTTGGTGTCTGATAGGCAGTAACGTTGAGGGGAGGGAGTGTGGAGGGCAGACGGGTTCATCTTGGGACATGCTGATAGGAAGGGGTTTGTAGCTCAGGGGAAAGGGTGGGGCTGGACCCCTGGATGAGGGAGTCCCTGGCTTGGGCATGTCAGATGGGTCCTTGGAGGAGTGGGGGTCTCAGAAAAGGGTAGGAGGAGATAAGGGTCCTTTTCCTGTATATTGAGGAAAAGCTGTCAGGGAAGGAGGAGAAGGGCCAGGATTTCCCTGCAGCCCTCGCAGCGTGCATGGTGCCATGTAGACTCTGGGAGGTGTTGTCAGTGCCCAATGGCTGTGTTACAAAGGGGACACATTTAGTGACATGTGTTGTCCTCACTGGAGGCAGAAATCACCTTGGAAGCTAAGGGGACACCTCTGGTAGAGAAGTATAACCCTCCCCTTTCTTGGACTTTGCCCTGGGCTGGCCAGTTCTCTCAGTGCCTTTCTCAGATGTCTCCCACCCATGCCCCAGGGCTGCTGTGGCTGAGATCCAGACCCGGCCCAGCCAGTGTGTGAGCCAGAGGCTGTCCCTAACACAGCATCAGCATGTCTGTCTCCACACCGAGGTGTTCTCTGCAGCACCTCTGGCCCACACACATGGTTAGAAGGAACAGTGACCCTAGAGAGCTTGTAGGTTGAGGGGTCACTGCTGGTGAGTTTTTAAAATATGTGTAACAGATGGTTATGCATGATTAAGAATGAATTCCATGGTCCAGCAATCCCACTTCTGGGTATATGCCCAAAAGAATCGAAAGCTGTGACTCAAAGAGATATTTGTACACCCATGTTCAGAGCAATATTCCACAGGCAAAAGTTGGAAGTAACCCAAGTGTCCATTGACTGATGAAGGGCTAAACAAAACATGGTCTACACATGCAATGGCATATCGTACAACCTTATAAAGGGAGGAAATCCTGTAGTATGCTACAAGATGGATGAATCTTGAGGACATTATGCTAAGTGAAACAAGCCAGTCACAAAAAGATAAATACTGCACGAATCCACTTCCATGATGGTCTTAGAATAATCAAATTCATAGAGACAGAATGTAGACTGGTTGCCAGAGGCTGGGGGAAGGGAGGAATGGGGAATTGGTATTTAATAGGTATAGGGTTTCAGTTTCACAAGATGAAAACAGTTCCAGAGATGGATGGTGGTGACATTATAAATGTACTTAATGCTCTTGAATTGTACACTGAAAACTGGTTGAAATGGTATTTTTTTCATGTTATAGGTATTTTACCCAAATTTCTCAAAAAAGGACGAATTCCAAGGTTCATTTAAAAATTTTTTTTAACATTTATTTTTATTTTTGAGACAGAGAGAGACAGAGCATGAACGGGGGAGGGGCAGAGAGAGAGAGGGAGACCCAGAATCGGAAGCAGGCTCCAGGCTCTGAGCTATCAGCCCAGAGCCCGACGCGGGGCTCGAACCCACGAACTGTGAGATCATGACCTGAGCCAAAGTCAGACATTTAGCCAACTGAGCCACCCAGGCGCCCAGCACAGATTTCTCATATGTAAAATGAGTATGCCCAGGGTGGTTGTGTGGCACGGGAGAGTGGGTTTGTGCAGCTTCTCTGTAAACTGTAAAATGTCGTGCAGAGTCCACGAAGTGTCTGTACTTCAGTGTCTTGACTCAGGGGTCAACGTTGTGAGCTACTCCAAGGAGGGCTACGATGGGACTTTTCTGGCACATACCTGCTCATTTCAGGCCATGTAGGGCCTCCGGCTTTTTGGAGTCCTATAGGGTTCCTACGGGCAGCTGCTGCCAGGATGGGTTCTGCAGGGCATTTCAGGTTGCAGACTGTATACATGCTCAGAAGGACTTTGCAGCCTTTCTCAGCCACGTTCCAGGAGGGAATTATTCCTTACAGTATTGACTTTCCTCCTATGCTTTTACAATCATACTAAGAGAAATAAGAAAATAGACACGGAAATAATTTTCTGTGTTTTGCGGTTCCATGAGGAATCCCAGTTGAGTAAGGCTGGGACCTGGCAGACCCAGAAGCCTCCACAATCCTTCACGAGGCTTCCACAGAGAATGAGAGGCCCAAGAGAGGAAGGCATTTGTCCAAGGTTGCACAGAGTTGGCAAAGCCGTCATTCAAAACCAGGTTCCTGAATGTCAGGCCATGACTGTGTGATGGGTGATGTGACCCTTTACATTCCTTCCACATTTTCAAACTGGAGCAGTTTCATGATGCTAGGTTTTACTTCTCTGGTTGTTGAGTTTTTTCCCCAGACCACCCTATCTGTAAGAGTGATGGATTTGAGAGGCCTGAGCAGTGGCCTCCTTTTTCTTGAGAGCTGAAGTCACAGCTCTGGCTGGCTCTGGGCTGTGTGTGGCTAAGTGCACTGCGGCCCTGGCATGGTGGGAGGAGGGGCAGCAGCTAAGTGGTTTCTGAAAAAGGGAAAAAATGATGGGAAAAGCTCTGGGATCCTCTGGGAATCAGACCCACGGCAACAGCAGCTGCTGCCATTGCTGGAAACATTTTCCTTGAGTGCCAGAGTGTACCCACAGCCCATCCCTGCCAGCGCTGAGTGACCACGGCCCAGGGAGGGGCCACGGACCCTCACAGAGGCAACTCTTCTCCCACACCAGTCCAGCTCTCCCTTCAAGTAACGAAGTCTTGGAGCTCGCCGGCACCTGCTGTGTCCGGGGTGCGCTGCATCTAGCTGGTGAGTCCTTTCTGCTGTTTGCTGGCCGGTGCCGATGCTAGCTTTTAGAATGGCACAGGGAGCTGTCAAAAACTGAGCCCTGCCTCTGTCCGCTTGGGTGACTATGAGCAGTTCAACTAGCCTCTCAGCACCTTAGTTACCCCATATGAAAACTGGGGATAATAACAGTGGCTGCCTCAAAGGTCATGGTGACGCTGAAGTGAAGCTATAGCTGTGGTGCACTTAGCCTGGTTAATCGTAAACACTTGGCAAGTGACTGTGGAGGTTGCCATTGTCATTGTGTATGAGTTGCATCAGGGTCATCCTGGACCCTCCTCCTGGAGCAAAGAGGCCAGTGGTTTGTGGCCGGAGGTTTCGCCACATAGCTCCTTCCAGGCTGAAGGGGTGCTGGGTGGGGTGGCAGGAGTCCTGGGTTCTCACCCAGGCTCCACTCGCTCTCTGTTTTAGATAGGGTTCCTGTGGCTCTTCATCCATAGGCAGGGTAGCCCCTGGATCTCCGTCCCTCTTTAGGAAATGCTCAGGTAGGAATTTCTCTTTAGGAATGATCAGGGGTGGATCCTGGACCAGTTCCCAAGAGCCTGTAGGGAAGCTGGAGGCAGACAGGTACTTTGAGCAGAGAGGGAGCAGGAGAGCTGCACCCCGGGATGTGTCAGCTGGATTAGGGAGAAAAAGGGGGCTTCGCCCAGGTGGTGGGCAGTTTCCTTCCTGGCGCTGGAGTTGAGAAAGATCCAGAGGCCAAACCAAGTTTTGCTGAGCAGGGTCATTTTTTTCAGGACAGTCCTTTAGTCTCCATTGGTGGGTTTGTGAATCTTGCCTAAACCAGAACCGCCATCTCCATCAGACACCCCAAGTCATAGTTGGAAATTTCCCCCATCATCGTAGGACATTCAACTGTGATAGGTACCTTGCCACGGGGCTCGTGTGCTAGACACACCCGGGCCTGGCAGTGGCAGACTATCTTGTAGTCTGCAGCCCAGAGCAAATGGCCTCTCAGTCCCTGTCCTGCCCTCTGCTCTGGAAGAAGCTTAGTTTCCAGTAGGGAATCAAGTGTGAGGCATGCAGTGCAGATTTGGGGTTTGTTGACTGACCGAATGATGGTACTGTGTGGGCTGCTTCATGTTTATTGGGTTTGGTTAGATTTGGACCAGTCAGAGGGAGAGGCAAAAGGTGACACTGTGGAATGATTTGTGGGGGCCCCTGCTAATGGGTGCTCTGGTTGGGATATTAAGAACTGTGAGTCAGGCATCAGGTTTATTCTTGGTTTTGTGGCCAGTCCTACCAAGGGGAGATGCCCTGCGAGAGTCAGGCCCTGGCAGATGGCCCGGTTCCTACTTGTACTTCATTTTGGCCTTTGAGCTTCCTGGGATGCTTGTTTGAGCAGGAAGGTGCTACAGGTTGGGGCTTCTGAGCAGAAGGGGGTTGTCCCTGCCTGCCTGGCCCCAGGGCTAGGGGACTTTGGGCTGATCAGTTCCTCACCCTGGTGTGAAGTCCGGGGCTGAGTTTAATGGCTGAGAAGACCCCTGTGGTGGAGTGCTAGAGATAACTCTGCAGTCAGGCTTCCGGGTATCAAATCCAGGTTCCACCTCGTCCTAACTGTGGCCTCCAGCAACCACTGTGCCTGAGTTTCCTCATCTGTCAAATATTTACCTCTTGGAGATGTGAGAATGAAGTGAGCACATGTGAGGTGTTAGAATGGTACCCACCCTTGCACAGTACATGCTCAAGCACGTCAGTTACTTTCGTTCTTACTAGCCTCCTGTGCCTTTTAATGGTAGCAGGCTCCACATAGTATGAACATAATAAGACATTCTCTTCCGAAAGCGCAGATGAGTGTTGGTGTTTATGCTTCTGAAGTTTCTCATGGCTTCCTACCATCCACACAATAAAGTCCAAATCCTGTTCCTTGACGTTCAAGAACAACAGCCATCTGGTTCTGCCCTGCTGCCTGTCCTCCAGGCCCACTGGCTTCCTCTTCACCAGCTACTTTGGGATCCCAATCCTCTCCCCTGGCCCCAGATCAACCCTCCTCTCCTTCTAGGCCCAGATCCTCTGTCACCTTCTCCATGAAGCCTTCTTCAGGACCCTGGCCCCTCCTGTGATACCCTGCCCCAGCCAGTGCCTGGTTACTGTCTCAGATGGGGCCGAGTCCTCTCCGTGCCCCCAGCACAGGCCTGGGTACCCAGTAGGATTCAGTAGATGGCTGTTGAGTGATGGGATGAACAAATGGGTGAGCGGTTGGAAGGAAGATTCCCTGTGGCCAGGAACACTTCCTGCTGCAGGGTTTCCATCTGAGGGATAACCCAGAGAAAGACTTGAGCCCCCCTGAGAGGAACAGCAGGCAGGATGGAAAACGGGCCGGCAGTCAGCTGTCTGTCTTCTTCGCAGGGTGCAGAGTGGTGAGGCTGCCTCATTTATTTTTCCCCCAAGGACCTGGGCATCAGATAATAGCTGGTCTATTGCCGAGGCCCAGCTGTGTGCTCTGAGTGTTCACTGCCTGAACTTGCACTTGAAAATGCAGGTTGGGAGCAGCTTCCCATTTCTTGACTGGCTATTTTTTGGAATCCAACCACTGCTGGAACATGAATCTCACTAACTTTCTTTGGAAATGGGAACAAGAAGGGTCTATATCTGATCTCTTTCATGTCCCCGACAGTGACCACAGCTTTATTTCATAGAGAGGGGGATCAGGCAAGTGCCCTGCTCAGGAAGAGGTCTTAGGATGTGGGGGAGATAAGGCAGTGCCAGATAGAAATTGCTAGACTGCATAATGGATGGTGCTAATAGGGCCACAAAGGATGATGGACAACCAACTGGGCCACTCTGGATGGGGAGGGAGCACGGCCAGTGCAGAGCCTGGGGGTGTGGAGGAGGCAGCATTAGTGTTGGACCCCAAAGGGAGGTGGCCTCTGAAAAGTGATAGGATTTGGGCATGAAGAGGAGAAGGAAAATGCCCCCCAAGTGGAGACACTGCAGAGGCAAAGGCCTCTGAGATGTGGAACAGCCCTGGGTACCAGGGAGTGGGGATGCCCTGCTGGATGGAGGGAGGAGTGGGACAGAAGGTTAGGAAGGGGGTGGAAGACACTATCAAAACAAGTTCACGGCCATATATGCTAGTGCTAGCTGCCAGCTGAACACCACATGTTCAGGCCTGGAAGGCCTGCGCCAGCCTCTAATCTCTTAAAGTTTAAAAATTCAGGGATGCTTGAAATTTCACAAAAATGACAAAAAAAGTGCAAAAAGTCCCCACCAACTCAATAGTTGCAGCTGCCAGGTCGAAGAGCAAAAGCAGGCAAGCACGTGGCTGATGACAGGGACACGTGGCACAAGAAGGCCTGTGCAGCATGGAGTGTGAGCATGTCAGTCTCTGCCGCTCACCCTGTTCACAGAGACACAGCCTGTTCTGCTCTTTGAGGCTGAGCCATTCCCATCACCGAGTCCCTCCCTCAATGCCCAGCCGTTGACAGCCACTCCCATTGTTTCTTTTATTCTGATCTTGGAGGGAGGCAGAGCAGTACTTATGATCCCACTTTGCAGATGAGGCAACTGAGGCCCAGAGAGGAGAGCAATCCATTCATGTCTTTCAGAGCCTTATGGCTTCAAGCTGGGGAATACATCCACCCTTGAGCCCAATGCCCATGGGGTTGCTAGGCCTGCTCACCCCTGGGGCCTCTGAGGTAGAAGGTATAGCACCCTTAGAAGCTTTAGTTCTGGGGGGCTAGGGCCAGCAGCTGTTGGATCTCTGGGGTGTCCTGCTTCACAGGGGCTTTTGCAAGGAGGGCAGATGGGGGCTAGAGTTGTGGAGTCCTCAAGCTGGGCACACACCTGATCTTGGTGGCTGCCTGCAGGCTGCCTCTCAGGCCACAACGGATCTGACAAGGATGAAGAAATGGGGGAGCTCAGACTCAGGGGAGTCTGAGGAGCCACCCCAAGAGGACTCCTGCTCAGACCCCTTGGATGGAGACCCTAACTCCAGGCCAGCTCCAGCCAAACCCCACATCTTCCCCACGGCCAAGAGCCGCAGTCGGCTTTTTGGGAAATGCGACTCGGAGGAAGCTTCTCCTATGGACTGCTCTTACGAGGAAGGCCAGCTAGCCTCCTGCCCAGCCATCACCGTCAGCCCTGTTGTCATCATCCAGAAGCATGAGGATGGCCCCACCTGTGACAGGTAAGCTGCATCTGGAGCCTGAGCCCCTCCCCACCAGGAGCCCACTGGCTCTGCCAGCTGAGGCCCCAGCTATGGAGATACCATATGTTCCTCTAGCTTATGGGCTGAAGGTCATAGAGCCAGGGAACTGGGGAGGCTTCACAAATCATCTGGTCCAGCATCTGCACTCCTAGGAGCCTCAGGACACATGGTCATGGATGCTGGCCTATCTGCTGATCTTAGCTGCAGGCTGATCTCTAGGTTTCCAGGCCTCAAATGCTTACCAGCCCCAAACACTTAGACTCTAAGTTGAAAACCTCAGGGCCAGAATGCTTTTTAGAGAGTGCAGAACAGTTCCAGTGACAAGCCCAAGGGCCCTCTCGCTTCCTCCAAGGCAGGTGAGGGAGGTACATGGGCCGGCTGACCTACAGGCCAGTGTGAAGACACTTTTTCACTTAACAGGAACCGTCCAAACTGCTGCAACTCCCCGCCTCCAGCCCCCTCCGGGCTACTGCCCCCAGAGCCCCAGCTCCTGAGTAGGCAGAGAAGTGAGTGGCTTGGGTGTTGGAGGAAGCGGTGGCAGCAAAGACTTTCTAGATGGTGCCTACAGGCAGGGTGGGGACAGAGTGTGGACACATGCACCCCATCGTTCCCTGTTACATCAGTTTCCTGGACGGTCATCTAGACTGAGGGATGGGTTTTATATCATGTTTTTTCACCTTTTGGTTTCCCCTGGGATTTAGTCATGCTCCCTGACAAGCTCTGGAGGCCCCAGGGCTGAAGGGAAATCAGAGCAGGAGATGAAGGTGTTTTCTGGCCTGCAGGCAGTCTTCCCAGGACTCTGCTCCTGCTGGGTCTGAGAAGAACCTCAAGCTGTATGATCGCAGGAAGATCTTTGAAGCCGTCGCTCAGAATAACTGTGAGGAGCTGCAGAGTCTGCTGCTCTTCCTGCAGAAGAGCCAGAAGCACCTCATGGACAGCGAGTTCAAAGGTGGCCCCTGCAGGGCCGGGCTCCTGGGTCGGGCCCCAGCTGTCATGCACTGCTCTGACCCTCACTTTGTCTTGCAGACCCAGAGACCGGGAAGACCTGTCTGCTGAAAGCCATGCTCAACCTGCACGATGGGCAGAATGATACCATTCCCCTGCTCCTGGAGATTGCCCGGCAGACGGACAGCCTGAAGGAGTTTGTCAACGCCAGTTACACAGACAGCTACTACAAGGGTGAGGAGGGGGACGGGGTTTGGCATGACTCTGTGCACAAGCACAGCTGGAGCCAGGTGGCATGCCTGGGCAAGCCTCTGAGCTTCGTACTCCCTGTACCAGCCAGTGCGTTGGCATCTCCTGGTCCTGGGGGGGTCCTTGCCTCCCCCACCTGCTGGACTTGTTTTCTCCTGGTGCTGAGGGTCCCATCCTCCCCTCTGTGGACTCGGTGTTCTTTGCTTCCAGAAGCCATGGCTACTCTCCCTGCTACTGTTCCTTGACCTTGGGCAGTTTTGACTATTCCAGGTCATGGTCTGGTGTTCCCTGGGGGTCTCTACTTCTGCCTCAGGGACTCTCTAGGCCCCCTTTGGGCATTCTGGCCTGCTCCCCTCTTGTATGGGGGAGTCACCTGGCATTTTCTGCCCAGATCTTCCCCCTGCACCTATCTAAGCACCCCCACAGGACTGTGAGTACAAAGCCAACAGCACACACCCTCCACAGGCCAGACGGCCCTGCACATTGCCATTGAGAGGCGGAACATGGCACTAGTGACCCTCCTAGTGGAGAACGGGGCAGACGTCCAGGCTGCAGCCAACGGGGACTTCTTTAAGAAAACCAAAGGGCGGCCCGGCTTCTACTTTGGTAGGGAGACCATGGGGTAGACCCTTGGATTTTTGACAACTGCCAAGGGGAGGTTTCGGGTGGAATGAGAGGGATTTGGAGGCCGGGTGGTCCAGGGACCAAGCCAATCTATTCCTGAGGCCCATCATATGCCTGTGTTGGCCACAGGTGAGCTGCCCCTCTCCTTGGCTGCATGTACCAACCAGCTGGGCATCGTGAAGTTCCTGCTGCAGAACTCTTGGCAGCCAGCAGACATCAGTGCCCGGGACTCGGTGGGCAACACAGTGCTGCATGCGCTGGTGGAGGTGGCCGACAACACAGCCGACAACACTAAGTTTGTGACGAGCATGTACAATGAGATTCTGATCCTGGGGGCCAAGCTCCACCCTACACTGAAGCTGGAGGAGCTCACCAACAAGAAGGGGCTGACGCCACTGGCTCTGGCTGCCAGGAGTGGGAAGATTGGGGTAGGGGGAAGGCTTCGGGCCTGGGCAGGGAGTGTGACTTTAGATGGTGGTGTTGGGGGGACGGTCTGCCTTGCTGCATGCCTGGCATCACCATCACGCAGAGCCCTGCTACTGTGACACTAGCCTGTAGGGGTAGGGCAGGGGGCTGTTAGAGGAAGCCAGAGGAATTGTGAGATGCTGGGCAGAAGCCAGCATCGCACCTGACTGTTTCTCATTACCTGTGAGCATCACTAGCCAGACACAGAGTAGGGGGGACGGGGGGTGCTAGGGCCTGGGGATAGGAGTGTGTTGAGCCAAGGGTGAAACTGATGTGATCAAGTGTGATCAGCCAGGTGTGATCAGGCAATGGGTCTGATGTGGCCTCAGCTGGGGTCTGAGGCAGTGGGCGGGTTGATCTTGATGGTGGTCGGGAGGCTGCTGGATGGAGGTGAGGACTCTCCTGGGGCTTGGGTAGAGTCTCCAACTGAGCTAGGAAGCAGACTTATTCCTGAGGCAGAGTTGGTAGCCTGGTGGAGATGCATCTTGTGGTTGGGGCTCCAGGATGGTCTTTAACAGGCTCTCGTATCCCCATGGCAGGTCTTGGCCTATATTCTTCAGAGGGAGATCCAGGAGCCCGAGTGCAGGCACCTGTCCAGGAAGTTCACCGAGTGGGCCTATGGGCCTGTGCACTCCTCACTCTACGACCTGTCCTGCGTCGACACTTGCGAGAAGAACTCGGTGCTAGAAGTGATCGCCTACAGCAGCAGTGACACCCCCGTGAGTGGGCCGGGGTGGGACTCAGCCAGGGTGGGCTTCTTGTCTCACTGCACCCCCCAGCCTCCACCCCAGCCCCTCGATCCAGCTCTGCCTGTCTTCTCATCACTGAAAACCTGCTGTGTGGGGTCTAGGCCCAGAAGCTTCATCTCCCCATTTGTTCCCACTGAATGTTTTCCTTCATCATACAATGTACAATGATATTCCCATAAAAGCGTAAATATTTCAGATATACACAGACAAAAACAACCTTCTTTTTATACCATATAAAAACATGTAGCTTTATTTTGTTTATATAAATGGGATCAAACTATGCAAAATGTAAAACAACCAGTTTTTTTACTTACTGGTGTGTCTTGTAGATAATTTTATATCAGAGTAGGTATGGATCTGCTTCATTTAAAAAAAACCCACGCAGTGTTCTGTAGGAGGGCTGGGGATAAATGTCCATTGGAGGACATTTGAGTTATATCCAGTTTTCCGCTCTTTCAGTACTGCGAGCCACTTAGCATGGGTTTGAGAATGTTTCTAGGATGCCTGGAAATGGAATTGCTAAATCAAAAAGTATGTATGTTTTAGCATTTTAATAGCTACAGCCAAGTTGTCCTCCACAGACTCCATCAGTGCATTTGCCCCCACCAGTGGGAAAATCTGCCCATGCCCTTGCCACCCTGGATATTATCAGTCTTTTCTCAAAAACCGGTTTAAGTTCTTGGGGCCTGAAATGCTATCTTATTGATGTCTTAATTCTCATTTTCTTGGCTAATATGAGGTGAATAATTTTCTCATGTATTTACCTGGCCGTTCATATTTCCTTGGTAGATTTCCTGTTCATTGTCCTTGGCCATCTCTTCCACTGAACTGTTTGCCCCATTCCTCTTTGTTTCTAGGTTCTCTTAGTATGGAGTGAATCTATCCTTTCTCTATTGCATATATTGCAAATATTTTATTTTTTCGTCTGCCTCTTGTCTTCTAACTTCAGTCAATGCATCGTTTGCTTATGAAAGGTTTTTAGTTTGAGAGCCAAATTAGTCTTTTTCTTTTATAACTTCTGTGACTTTTATCTTGCTTTGTAAGTCCTTTTCCACTATAAGGTTATACAATATCCTTCAATATTTTTGTTTAGCTCCTTTGTAGGTATTTTACTTTTGTCTCTTTAATTTGTCTAGAACTTATTTTTGTGTAGGGGTGAGGTAGGCATCTTACTTAATTATTTTGTTTCCACATGAGGGTCCCAGGGCCACTAAATGAAAAGCCTGTCCTACCCCCACTGCTTTGAAAGGCTGCTTTCCCTGTCTGTTCTTTCTAAGGTATACCTGCCCCCGAGGCAGCCCCAGGGGCTAGGCTGGAGTTTGTGCTGGTGAGGAGGCTACCACAGTATCTTACAGGGCAGAGGCTGTGTTTACAGGGGCAAAGTCCAGCGGGGGGAGAGAGGTCTAGACTGCTTTGCTGTGCCCCGCCAGCCTTCACCTGGGCTGCCATGCTGGATCAGGGCGTTGGATTCAGAATCCTGAATGGAGTGTCCCCAGAGGGCTGGCCCATGTAGGAAACGGCTTCAAAAAGGCTGAGGTGTTTGGCCTAGAGAGGAGAGGGCTCTGGGGCCACGCTGCCATTTTCATGTCTTGGAAGGCTCTCTCAGGCAGAAATGCAATACTGGGGTCCCTGAGTGCAGAACTGGGACAACTGGTGGAAAGCAGAGAAGTAAGACCAACTTTACTCCAGAGAATTGATCTTCCTGACAGTTAGAATTTCTCCTCAGGCTGCTCGAGGCAGCGAGGAGCTTCCCATCCCAAAGGCACTGAAGAAAACATTGAACCGGGACCTTACTGGGGGAGCTAGAGCTTGGGCTGGGGGTTGGGTTGATGACCTGCAAAAGAGGATGATTTTGGCTTGTCCATCTTAGGAATATACTGGAACTTCAACAGAGATCTCTTGGATATGAGATTTTGTCATTCCTGGCTGGGGAGTGAGCCTCACCTCTCTCTGCTCCCCTTAGAATCGCCACGACATGCTTTTGGTGGAACCGCTGAACCGACTCCTGCAGGACAAGTGGGACAGATTTGTCAAGCGCATCTTCTACTTCAACTTCTTCGTCTACTGCTTGTATATGATCATCTTCACCACAGCAGCCTACTACAGGCCTGTGGATGGCTTGGTGCGGCCTGAGGCTCGGGGACTGGGGAGAGGGATGGGCATTTCTAGAAGACCCCCAAGACCCAGGCCCAGGCCAGGCCCTGGACTCCTTCCCAGCTCACTGGAGACATGGAAGGATCACCCAGAGCTCCTCATGTCCCTGTACACAGCCCTCCATGTCTCAGGTTGTCCTGGCAACACACCCTCCCCCTTCTCAGTCCCTCCTGTGGTCTCCTGTTCTGTGAGGCTGAGTGTGTGGTCTACGAGGTCCCTGATGGCTGAGGAGGGGCAACAGGTTAGAAAAGATGCAGGAACTAGGGCTCTAGAAGCAGCTCTTCCCTCAGTTGGCTGTCTGTAGGGTCATGAGCTGGCGTGAGCCCTGAGCCTATTGCCATCCCACTGGCCTGCCCACTTTTGTTCATTCACTCGCTCATTGTTTGTTCCCTGGACATCTACTTTTGATCATTTCTTCTGTGCTAGGCCCTGGGCCATCCATCAAATTGGCTTGAGACCAGACTTCTTCCTCTACCAAGAGCCATGGACTGCTTTGAGTTACTAAACTGAATCCTTTCCATTCAATACCCAAGCACTTAATTTGCTGCCTTTGTTTCCAGGGCGTCTTGCTTATTAAATGTGATTTAAAACCCCACTTCCTAGTTAGGTGAAACCTGACTTCTATCCACCTAGTAAGGCCATTTAACGATTTCATTTTATGAGAAAAGAGAAATGTGCTAATAAGACAAGCTAGTGAGACAGTGTTTATCAAACATCAATGGCAAGCAGAAAGGAAACCCACCCCAGGAATGTATCTGAGACACAAGGATGACACACACGTGTGTGGGACATCTCACCTCCCACCATCCAGGGGAAACCTCAACAGTCATGGGACACCAGGGGTTCACCATGGGCTGTGGGAGCAGCAGGAAACATATGGCATTAGCGTCTGTAAGAGTGTCTCCACCTATGCCATCTACCTCCTCCCATAGGTGCTCCTGGCTGGACAGTGTCTGGGAAAGAGCACAGCACTGTAAGGATGCTCTGCTTGGAACCTAAAAGATGCCACTTTGGGAATCAGCTCCCACAGAAGGGCCTCCTTGCAGGTGTCCCCAGTAATGCACTGTCTTTAATGATGCCTCTCTCCTGATGGAGGCTGGGCCTCTTGGGCAGCCCAGCTCTTTTTTTTTTTTTTAATGTTTATTTATTTTTGACATAAAGTGAGCGTGTGAGTGGGGAAGGGGCAGAGAGAGAAGGAGACAGAGGATCTGAAGCAGACTCTGTGCTGACAGCAGAGAGCTGGATGTGGGGCTTGAACTCATGAACCGTGATGTCATGACCTGAGCCAAAGTTGGACACTTAACCAACTGAGCCACCCACACGCCCCCAGGGGTGGGCTCTTAATCACAGGGCTTGGTAAATGCTTGTTGAGTGAATGAATGAGTGAATCGAGTCACTAACTTCTCTGCACCTTACAGCCTCCCTATAAGCTGAAACACACTGTTGGGGACTATTTCCGAGTCACTGGCGAGATTCTTTCTGTATCAGGAGGAGTCTACTTTTTTTTCCGAGGGGTAAGCATTCCTTCCCACACTGTGAGTTTCCATTATCACCAAAACAAAAAGCCAAGAGACTCACTCATTGCTCACTCACTCTTTACTTCAGGGGAGAGATGCCCAGGTGAAGATGAGGCATTCGTGCCCAGTGGGTTTCTGCAGACTCAGGACAGTTCAAAGTGTTCGGAGACAGATAGGACTTTCCACCGGACGTGCAGCTGACCCTTGAACACTGCAGGGGTTAGGAGCACCAACTTCTCACACAATCGAAAGTCTGTTTAAACATTTGACTGCCCCCAAATTTAACTACCAGTAGCCTACTATTGATTGGAAGCCTTACTGATAACATAAACAGTCAATTAACACATATTTTGTATGATACGTGTATTGCACACTATATTCTTACCATAAAGTAAGAGAAAATAAGAAAATCATAAGGAAGAGAAAATACATTTACAGTACTGTACTGTATTTATATAAAAAACTGCATATAAGTGGACCCTCACAGTTCAAAGCTATGTTGTTCAAGGGTCAACTGTAATGTTTAATTATGAAGTAGAGTGGAAGTCTCTTAAGTGACAGGATCATGACTGGCGGTTATTTAATTAAAACCATCTGTTAAAGCTCAAAACAATGAAAGAAATCTACACATATACTGGAATCATTTTATTTTACCTGAAAACTCATACATGTACATTCCTTGGCCATTTTTCTAATATATGAACAGTCTTTTCTTTGAAATTGGAACCACTGTTACATATACAAATAATTGGAGATTATGGTGATTTTCCCCCTTAACATTTTTTTATTAAAAAATTTTTTTAATGTTTTGTTTTCTGAGAGAGAGAGATAGAGAGACAGAAAGTGAGCAGGGGAGGGACAGAGAACAGGGGAGACACAGAATTCAAAGCAGTCTCCTGTCAGCACAGAGCCCGATGCAGGGCTTGAACCCATGAACTGTGAGATCATGACCTGAGCTGCAGTTGGATGCTCAACCGACTGAGCCACCCAGGCGCCCCTCCCTTAATCTTTTTGATCTAAGCTACACCTGATTTTTTTTTTTTTTAGTGACTTACCTTTAAGGAATCTTTCCAAATCATTGGATGCTGTCTTCACAGAAACAACTGTCTTTTTATTTTTGTACTCATATTTTATATTATAATAAGATACAAAGCCGCAGTTACAAGTGCAGTCTTGATGACAAGGATTAACTGCGGGAGGGAGCAAAGTGTGTGGGTGTCCTGGAGAGGGTCTCCTAGCCACCAGCCCTCACTGTGGGCGTCAGTCAGAATGTTTTCAGGGAGTGGAGAGCACTGGCTAATCTGGTGACTTAGTTCAGTGGAGGCTGCTTAAAGAATTTTTACTATAATGCATAGTTCTTGAAGAAAACTAGGGGAAAATGCACAAATTAGAAAGAAGAAAAGAAATTGCTCAATCTCATCATTCAAACACAGCAATTAATAATATTTTGGTGCTTTTCCTTCCTGTCTTTATTTCTACCTAGAGTCGTAATTCCACTCTCTATTTTTAACAGTCTCTCCTGACTGAGTCACATAATGTTACCCTGTGAACCTGACCCTCGCTGTTCTACCCTTTTCAGAACCTCTGCTTTGATGCATTTGTTCCATCGTCGGCCATTTGGGAGCATTGCAAGTACACTCATCATTTCACCTTTTCTGGCTTCTTACTCTGCCTATTTGTTTGCAGATTCAATATTTCCTGCAGAGGCGGCCATCTCTGAAGACCTTGTTTGTGGACAGCTACAGTGAGATGCTTTTGTAAGTGATGCTTTGACTCTTATGACTTGATAGCAGATGGTATCTTTTGGCCCAGTCCTAAAGTTATAGCCATCAGTTCTCACCCATCCTCTCACCTATGCTAAGCCTGGAACATAGTAGGACCTCACAAATGTGTTGAATGAATGGCAGAAGGCCCTCAATACATGTGTGGATGAATACTGAAGCTCTACTCTGTGTCATATACGCACCAGGTGTTAGGAAATGACATACATGGGCTCATGTGGCTTATAGTCTGAGTTACAGTCTGAATACCCTTGGTCATTTTTTTTCATGCGTTTGTCCAACCACCTGTTAGTCACTGAGTTGGCATTGGAATACTGAGATGAAATAGATATGATTCCTGTCTTCAAGGAGTTTCCGATCCTTGGGGTAGCGTTTCTCAACCTTGGCACCATGGACATTTTGGACTGGGTGATTCTTTGCTATGAGGGCTGTCCTATGCATTGTAGAATGTTTAGCAGCATCCCAGGCCTCTACCTGTTAGCTGCCACTAGCACTCTCTCTGTCCCCCATTCTTGATGACCAAAAATGTATCTAGATATTGCCAAATGTCCCCGACTTGGGGAGGCACAGTCACCCAAGACTGAGAATCATTGCTTTAGGGGGAGACAGATAAGCAAAAACCATAGTTATAGAACAAGATGGATGTCACCAGGACCCTCCTTCCTTCACAAAATAAGCTGGAACCTTACGAAATTTCCTTGGAGGACCCAGGATACACAAAGGGGGTTTTCAGATGGGAATGGGTTCTCCTGGGATTTATATTAAGGACTTAACTCTGATCCCCAAGTTTCCTTCATTCCTGAGGCCTCTCTATTCCTGGCAAATGAAAGGAGTTGATTTCTTATCCTGTTGTAGCTAGCTTGTCCCCATGTGTTTACCATAATCTTCAGATACTTGCACTTTAACTCCAAAGGGCTGGGTCTATAGGGTTAGTGCAATGCTGGTTTGCTTTACTAAGAGAAACAATGTTCTCCTACATAGCATTGTGCCAATAAACTTGATTCTATTCCCAGGAGGACTTACTGCAGGCAGGTTAGAAATGGATTTCATTTTACTTTTTCAAAGCTACTCATGCCCATGGGTAAACATTGAAGAGTACTAAAACGATTACAGCCAGTATATGAATTCCTCATCTTAAACCTTCCCATCTTGTAATTCTCCTTCCCAGGGACAATCACTTTTCATTCTTGCAGCTCTTTCTTCTGATGTTTTCTCACCTGGTGGATGAGGATTTAGCATCCTTTTACTTCCTTCCCCCCTGCTTCTGCTCCTCTAGCCTCCCAATATAGTTTGAAGTAATTTTTGTTTTAGTTGGTATTGAGCAATTTATGTTATGTCTCTACAAGTAGTATTCATAGTTGAGCTTCATAATATACTTCTTTTTTGTTTGTTTCTCCTAAAATTTGTAATTATCTTGTTGTTACTTGTTTAGTTTTCTTTGTACCCATTGTTAACTTGTCCCACACATCTCAAAGCCTCTCAGTAAACATTTTCTCAAAGTCAATCACATAAATTATATGATTGGAATCCCTGCTCCTAGTTTTTTCCTTGAGAGATCTCCTCCTGGAGTGCTGTCCTCTGTTTCTTACTGGGCTGGTTGCTCTCTGGGCCTGCTGCTTAGCCATCATCCTGGGACTCCTCTTTGTTGCCATCTTTGGGATGCTCACTGCTTTCATTCTGGGTTAGACTTCCTGTCTCTTTCTTGGTTTTCCTCCTTTTTCCTCCTTCAGTATTGTCATTTGGTGAAAAGGATTGTCTCCTGGTGAAGGGCACAGTGATGACAACTTTTATTGTGTCTGGTTCTTGAGTCTCATTCTCCCACATGTACATCCGAGGTGTCATCCCTTCACTAGCACCTTAGAGATCCCTTTCACTTCTCTCCTGATTTGGATCTCTTATTTTCTGAACCCAAGTCTTCCTTTTTACTGACTCACTCCCTTTTTGAGGGAAAAACATCCTCAGCTAAAGAAAAAAGGCCCATAGTAGGGAAGGGGGGAGTAAAATTTATTTGAAATCTGGCATGCCTGAGAATATTTCTACTATACCTTCACATTTCATTGATGTCTTGATTGGGTATAAAAATATTTTTAAAAATTGAAGATATTTTTCCATTGTTTCCCTGCTTCCAGTATTATAGATGACAAGTCCAAAACTATTCTGATTCTGGATCCTCTTTTAATACCTGGTTTGGTTTTTCTCTTTGTAAATCTGTGGTATCTTCTGTTTGTTTCTAGTGTCCTGAAACTTAATGATATGTCTTGATTGCATTTGTTTTTATCCAATGTTCTGGGCACTTGGTAGGCTCTTTCAATCTGGAAATTTATGTCCTTTATTTTGGGGATATTTTCTTGAATTATTTCTTATGATATGTATATTGAACCTCCTGACTTAGTTCTGAACCAGTTCTTATGTCTTCTCACTTGTGTTCTCTTTATCTTTGGCTATTCTTTCTGGGAAGTTCAAATCAACTTTAATTTCTGCCCCTTCTATTGAGTTTATTACTTTTGATACCACGTTTTAATTTCTGTGTGTTCCTTATCTATAGCACTCTATTCTTGTTTCATTGATGCAATATCTTCTTTTGTCTCTCTAAGACTATTGAAATAAAATTTTAAAATAAAATAAATTTTCTTCTTTTTGCATAGGATTTATTTTCTCTAAGTTGTTGTTTCCCATTTTCTTGTTTTGCTCTATCTTTCATATTAGAAGATACCTGGAAAATTTTTTTTTTCTGGAAATTTTTTATATCTGCTCATGAGTAAGAGTGGAGGACTGAAAAGCTTGCTGGGAGCTCTTAATGTATGAATGGGACTTATCAATTTTGAGCTTCACTATAAACTAGTCTAGGTTAAGCTATTTATTGGCAAACATCCAAAGTTAGTCGATTTCATCTTTTCAGTCTTCTGCCTGGAGGAAAGAAGTCTGGCTGCTAGATTTCTGAGAACTGAGTGAAGAAGAGGGCTTTCTGTAATCTGTATTATATAAAAATCACATAATCTGCTTTTGGTAAAATACCAATGCTTTCACTGTTGTTTGATGACAGTGGGTCCAAAGATCCTCTCCTTTGTCTTCTTCAGAGACAAAACCTCCACTCTTCCTTATTTTAGGTCTCTTCATCTCCTTTCTGGAGGTCTCTAACCCTTTTGAGGCTCCTTGGTTAAAAGAGCTGATTCTCAGCTTTCCCCACTACAGATTTGGACTTGGGTCTGCTAAGTCAGTTTCTGTTTGTCTGCTGCTTCCCAGATGCATGTGTGGGGGCTCCATTTGCCACCCAACGTAACTCTTTACCTATTTCAACTGGTGTCAGTTCTTATTTTGGCCAAGGTTCTGAAAATACAGAGGAATAGTTTTCCTTTGCAGCAGAATTCCAATTGATGAGCCAGTTTATTGACATCAGTTTTCAGTAGACTCACATCATCACGTGGTGTTTTTTTGCTTGGTTCTTTCACAGAAATGGGAAGTGAGGTTGTCAGCATGGTCGAGAGTATAGATGTAGCTGGGGGTACTTTCGAGAGGAGGCTATGATGAACAAGGAGACCTGGGGTGAATATGTAAAGAAAGGACCACTGGGCAGACTCTGCCATAGGATCATCAGATTTACTACACCTTATCCATGGATCCTACTTGGGCAGCCCCCACCAGACCGAGTTGCCGAGGAACATCTTTCCTGGCTCTCCTCCTGAGTTTGATGGTGTGGCCAGCAGACTCCACCTGTGATTTTTCAGGAGAGCATGGCCTGTACCTCCTCACTGCTAAAGCAATGTTTCCCAGACTTTTTTCATTATTGCCTTTTTAGACATTTTTTCCTAATTGCCCCTCCCATGAAATCTAATACCACAAATATACTGTAGAGTTGTCCATGCAATGTATTTCTATTTGTGCTTTCTACAAAAAGAGAGTAAGATTTTGTACTCCCATAACCAACTTTTCCCCCCTTGGGGATGCTATTAACTCCTACTGAGAATCACGGGCTAAAGGAGACAGGACAGTCAACCCTAGCTCCCGCAACAGCCTGTTGTCTGTGCTTCTGAGGGGGTGCCAGGCCTCCTGGGTGCTCTTAGACAGAGCTTCCTATCCCTCCACCCTCAGCTTTGTGCAGTCACTGTTCATGCTGGGGACCGTGGTGCTGTACTTCTGCCACCACAAGGAGTACGTGGCCTCCATGGTGTTCTCCCTGGCCATGGGCTGGACCAACATGCTCTACTACACCCGCGGCTTCCAGCAGATGGGCATCTATGCTGTTATGATTGAGAAGGTGGGTGCCAGCATCCAAGCAGGTTCTCCGTAGAACCTGTTTACTTCATGGGTATGTGGGACATGGTCTACAAACTCTGTCCATCCTCTGTAATGGCTGGAGAGGTGCTGGTTTAGTTCAGCACCCACTTTCCCAGATAATTCCTCAAGATTCAGGCCATCTGGTCTTGACCTGGGTTTGGGGGCTCCCCTGAAACTTGACCCCCTACATACCAGGCCCTGCTCTCCCACCAGAACAAAGGCCATGGTGGGAGAAGCTGTGGATGACTTCCTTATGACACTGGAGCTGAAAACCACCAAACCAGACCCTCCTGCATGTTCTCCAGTTCTGCTTAGGCTCAAGATTAATCCCAGGCTGACATGGTCGTGACATTTCCCTTGGCCGGCCTGGGGACTGGACTTGGTTCTGACAAGCCTGCTCTCTCCTGCAGATGATCCTGAGAGACCTGTGTCGCTTCATGTTTGTCTACCTTGTTTTCTTGTTCGGGTTTTCCACAGGTAATGGGCTTGGTCAGGGCTGGTGGCGGGCAGAGCTCTGGCTACCCTCAGCTTCCTGAGGTCTCTGCAGGGGCTGGGTGGGGAGAGGCCCACTGGGGTGTGTATCTGCAGGTGACAGAGTGGATGGATAAAGAACGCACAGAAATGAGCAGGAGAACCTGGAAATGTGATTCATAAAATATTGTAAGCAATTTTAGAGGTATGAAGTGCTGCTTGCCTACAGTATAGCTGCATTTTGGCTTAGTTTTTATTTTATTTTTATTTTATTTATTTATTTATTTATTTAGGGTTTTTTTAGTTTTTTTAAGTTTTTATTTTGATATTATTTCAGATTTTCAGAAAAATTGCAAGAATAGTACAAATAACTTTTCTGTACATATTACCCACAATCCCCAAATTTTATCACATTTTAAAATCACTTTCCCTTCTACACACACACACACACACACACACACACACACACACACACCACTTAAAAAAAAAGAGTAAGCTACAGACATGATCAACCTTTTACCACTGGATAAAGCCTGCATTTCCTAAAAACAGGGATATTTTCTTACATAAACAATGTATAATGATCAGAATAAGGAAATAAACATCAATACAGTACTATTAACTAATCTACCAGCCTTATTCAGATTTCACCAATTGTCCTAATAATGTCTTTTGTAGAAATAAAAATCCCAGATCATGCATTATATTCAGTTGTCATGCCTCTTTAGTTTCCTTTAATCTGGAGTGCTTCCTCAATCTTTCCTTGTTTTTTTGACCTTAGCATTTTTAATGAGTAAAGGCTAGTTTTTACAATGTCTCTCAATTTGGGTTTGTCTGATGTTTCCTCAAAATTAGATCCAGGTGTGCATTTTTGGTCAGACTATGGAGGAAGTAACGTGTGTCTTCCTCAGTGCATTGTATCAGGGCTTCCGTAACGTTTGTTTAGCCCTTGTCTGGTGGTGTTAACTTTAATTACTTGGTTTTGATGGGCGTGATAAGTAATTTGTGAGGAGATGTTTTGAGACTAGGTAAATATCCTGTTTCTCATCACACTTTCAACCAGTAATTTTAGCATCCACTGATGATTCTCACCTGAATCACTTAATCCTAATGGTTGCCAAATGATGATTTTCTAACCCTGTCATTCCTTCTACATTTATTCACTGGCATTCTATTATAGGGAAGAGCTTTCCATTCTCTTACACTCATTTATTATTTATGTCAGTGTGGCCTCACAGATTCTTTTCTGTTTTTGTTCCATTTTTCATGGAACCTCACTTTGTTAAATGGGTTATAATCTTACTGTCACCATCTCGATGCTGAGATTGTCTGAGAAATCATCTTTGGGAGCCTCTTCAAGCTGGCTCCTGTGCCCTTCTGACACATCCACAGAATTTCTGGGCACCTGGCTCTGCTTTGATCCTCGTCTGAGTTCTGCAATTACTTGGTTCACATGTATACCCTCTCCTTTCCCCTCCCCACAGCCTGTTTTGGAATCTCTGTCTTGGAGTTATGGACAGCTTTGACTAGGAGCTTTGATTGATAGGGATGCGTGTGGGCTCTGGCACCCTGTGTGAAGGTCCTGGTCTATCAGTACCCCCAGGAAGGGACTTGGCCAAATGGGTTAATGGATACTGGATGTGCAGTAACCATGGGCACAACAACTACAGAAGCTCTCAGGCTCCAGACTACATTTTGCAAAGAAAAGTGTAGAATGCAGCAAGAGACCATTCTGCTCTGAGCTGCTTAGTCTCCATCATTCTGGAACGTGCTGGCTTTGGGGCACCCTCTAAGGGGGACAGGAAGACAAGGGTGACTGAGAAGCTGGGTGTGGATCCAGGACTGATACGTAAAGTTAGACAGGTTGTGCACTGTACAAAGGCAGCTAGATTCACATTGTATATGTACATTTGCATATTTTTTAAAACATTTTTTCCCCTAGCAGATGATGATAAAGTTCTTATTGTAACAAAACAGAATACAGTTGACCCCTGAACAAAATGGGAGCTAGGGGCACCAATTCCCTGCATAGTCAAACATCTGCAAATAACTTTTGACTCCCCCAAAACTTAACTACTAATAGCCTACTGTTGACCAGAAGCCTTACCACATATTTTGTATGTTATATGTATTATATACTGTATTCTTATAATAAAGTAAGCTAGGGAAAAGAAAATGTTATTAAGGAAATCATACAGAAAATACATTTACAACTATGCTGAATTTATCAGAAAAAAACCTGTGTATAAGTGGACTCTTGCAGTTCAAACCTATGTTGTTCAACGGTCAACTGTACTATGACGGTTTGCTGATAGTTCTGAAGAAGAGGTTTTTTTTTTTTTCTTTTTTAAATTCACACAAAATTGCCATATGGCGAGCAGCATTCTTACTGCAGACACATCCTGGGAGATGGGGCGCATCTGTTGGGGGGGTTCTGTCTTGGCTTCCATCCAGTTGCACCTGTCCCCGCCCCTGCCCTGTAGCGGTGGTGACACTGATTGAGGATGGGAAGAATAATTCTGTGCCGGCTGAGTCCACATTGCACAGGTGGCGAGGGCCTGGCTGCCGGCCACCCGACAGCTCCTACAACAGCCTGTACTCCACGTGTCTGGAGCTCTTCAAGTTCACCATTGGTATGGGCGACCTGGAGTTCACCGAGAACTATGACTTCAAGGCTGTCTTCATCATCTTGCTGCTGGCCTACGTGATTCTCACCTACATCCTCCTGCTCAACATGCTCATCGCCCTCATGGGTGAGACCGTCAACAAGATCGCGCAGGAGAGCAAAAACATCTGGAAGCTACAGGTGGGTCGGTGGGTGGGGTGTGCACAGCGGGAGGGCACTGGCTGTTCTGTCGCTGCTTAACACAGCGGGGGTGTATGAGCCCCTGCAGGGTTTGAAGAAGGGCAGAGAGCCCAGCCAGGCCTGGGGGATCAAGCAGAAGCATCTCTCCCAGTTGACTCCTTTCTGGCCCCTCTTTCGGGGTTTCCCTGCTACGCATCACCAGCTGGTATTCACAGACACTGTGTTTACTGTGACTGGGCAGTGCCCAGGAGAAGGAAATGGAAGGCTCAGCCCCATGGGATGCCCACCTCACAAGAGCTTGGTCTAGGGTGGGCCCCAGAGACCAGACTTGGGGGGAGCAGCTAAAATGGGGTTGATCCTGACAGCTCGTTTTTGAGCCACCTGGTTCTTAATCTGCCTTCCCACCTAATAATAAAAGCATCGTTCTAATTATTAAGTAGCAGTGACTCTATACCAGGTACTGTTCTAAGTGTTTTATATGCTCTCAGTTAATCCTCACAGCAATGCTGTCAAGTGGCTACAATTACTGTCTCCATTTTTGTGTAAAGGCACCGAGGCATTGAGCACTTAGGCATCTGTGTCCAAGGTAACTGCGATCTTCCTCAACTTACAGAGGAATGACGTCCCAATAAACCCACTGTAATTTGAAAATGCATTTATTACACCTAACCTACTGAATGTCACAGCTTAGTCCAGCCTACCTTAAATGTGCTTAGAACACTTAACATTAGCTTACCGTCGGGCAAACTCATCTAACATAAAACCTATTTTATAATAAAGTGTTGGCTATCTCATGAAATTTGCTGACTACTATAATAAAAGTGAGAAACAGAATGGTTGTATGGGTACAGAGTGATTGTAAGTGTACTGGTTGTTAGCCCCTGTGATCCCATTGCTGACCAGGAACTCCTGGCATCACGAGAAAGGATTGTATCATTTATTGCTAGCCTGGGAAAAGATGCACGTTCAAAACTCCAAGTATGGCTTCTACTGAATGCACACTGCTTTTGCACCATCATAAAGTTGAAATCATTAAGTTGAACCATCATAAGTTGGGGACTGTCTCTAGTAAGTAGCAGTTAGGATTCAAGTCAAGCTGTCTCATCATGAGGCCCTGTTCTTTACTACACTATCTGCCCCTCTGTGAGTAGGGAAGTCTGGGGTGAGACACTCTACATCACTCATGGGAGGCCCTGCCCTAACCCTAACCTGGCAGGCACCTCAGTGCCTGGGCAGTTCTGGGCCGGATGCGCTGAGCTTGGAGTGTGCACCTGTTGGGCTATGGAAACAAGCCTGGTATGGAAGACACTAGAGGTCCAGCTTGGGGGCACTGGGGCTGGGAGAAACTCTGGAGAGGTTGGTCTTGGAAGCTAGCCCCTGGACAAGCCTCTGCCCCTCAGCCCTTTGTGTCTTCCCACAGAGAGCCATCACCATCCTGGACACGGAGAAGAGCTTCCTTAAGTGTATGAGGAAGGCCTTCCGCTCAGGCAAGCTGTTGCAAGTGGGGTACACACCTGATGGCAAGGATGACTACAGGTGGTGTTTCAGGTAATGTTTAGGCAGGAATCAAACTGAGGGAGCTCAAGGGCTTAGCTAGATATCAGGGATCCACCCAGAGCCAGCTATGGGCACAGAGGCCATTCTAGGGCTTTGTGGGCATAGGGGACTCCCCCGCAGCCAGCTGTGGATACAGAAGCCTTCCTCAGGGCCTCTTGGGACCAGTCATGTGCATAGGGGACTCTCCCAAGGCCAGCTGTAGTTAGGTAAAGGGCTATCCCAAGGCTGAGCTGTGGGCATAGGAGACCTACTGGAAAATGAGGTGTCCAAAAGGGGTCATCCAATGATCAGAGTCAGAACCAGGAATCCAATATTTAAAGTCCTTGGGCCCCATGATATGGTCAGAGAATATAGCTTTGGGGGTGGTGTCTAAAACACAGGCCCTTTTCAGCCTTCCCCTTACCGGCTATGTCTCCCCATCCTGCTCTATGGGCTTCTTGGAATTGGCCTGTGGCACCAAGCCCTCAACCGGGAAGATAGGCATGGCTTTTAGGCCATCAGCTCCCAGCTCCCTTGTCTCCTTGCCCTGCAGGGTGGATGAGGTCAACTGGACCACCTGGAACACCAATGTGGGCATCATCAATGAAGACCCGGGCAACTGTGAGGGCATCAAGCGCACCCTGAGCTTCTCTCTGCGCTCAGGCAGAGGTGAGGTGTGAGGGAAGGGTGCTGTAGCACAGAGGTGGCCTGATGATGGGCAGGTGAAGCCTTGGGGTTCCTTGTTCCTTGGAGGCCTTCTTCACCCCGCAACCTGAGCCCCTTCGGCTCAGGTCTGATCTCACTGTTTGTGAGTTTGAGCTCAGAGCCTGGAGCCCACTTCAGATTCTGTGTCTCCCTCCTCTCTCTGTCACCCTCTCCTGTTCACACTGTCTCTCTCTCTCTCTCTCTCTCTCAAAAAAAAATAAAAATAAAAAAAAAAAAAAAAGAATGAAGCAAACCTAGTTTTTATTGAACACATTTTGAGTTATAACTACAATTTTGCACTAATTCTTTGTTTTTAGATTTTAGAAAATTGTGGTAAAATATACGTAACACAAAAGTTACCATTTTTAAGTGTTCAATTCATTGGTGTTAATTACATCCACAATGTTGTGCAGACTTCACCACTATTTCCAAAACCTTTTCATTATTTCAAACAGAAACTCTTTACCTATTGAACAATTACTCCTATTTTTCCCTCTGTCTCTATTCTACTTTCTGTCTCAGTAATATTCCATTGTATGTATATACCATGTTTTATTTATCCACTCATCTGTTGATTGACATTAGGATCGTTTCCACTTTTTTGGCTATTGTGAATAATGCTGTGAACATCGGTGTCCAAGATTCTGTTTGACTCCCTGCCTCCAATTCTTTTGGAATTAAACTGCTGGGTCATATGGTAATTCTGTGTTTAGCTTTTTAAGGAATGCCAAACTATGTTCTATAGCAGCTGCATTATTGTACATTCCCACCAGCAATACATGAGGGTTCCACATCCTCACCAACACTTGCTATTTTCTGGGTTTTTGTGGTAGTGTATTGGTTGTCCTCGCCACCTTACTGGATGTGAAGTAGTCAAAATGTCCATTTCATTCTCATGTTTGAAGACTATCTTCATTGAATAAAGAATTCTGGGTTAACAGATATTTTTCCTCTTTTTTTAAAAAAGTTTTTTCCAACGCTATTTTTCTCCACTGGTCTCCATTGTTTCTGATGGAAAGTAGCTCATTATTTGCATTACTATATGTAATATGTCTTTTTTTCTCTGGCTGTTTTCAAAATATTCTCTTCATCTTTGGTTTTCAGCAGTTTGACTAAGACGTGCTCAGGTTTGGTTTCCTTTGGTTTTATCCTGTTTGGCGTTTGCCTGAGATTCTTCAATCTATATGTCAGTGTTTCATCAAATTGGGAAACCATATATATTTTGCTTCATTCTCCCTATCTTCTTTTTTGGGGACCCCAGTTGCATGTATTTTTGATTACTTGATATTACCCCATAGGTTTCTGAGATTTTGGTCATGTTTCCTTAATTTTTTCTGTTTCTCAAATTTGATAAGTTTTATTGATCTGTCTTCAAGTTTACTGATACTATACTCAGCCATCTCCAAACTGCTATTAAGCTCATCCAGTGACTATTACATTTCAAGTATTGTGCTGTTGGTTTTTAAATTTCTATTTGGTTATTTTTTTTTTTTTTTGTAGTTTTCATTTCTTTTCTGAGATTCTCTAGTGTCCTCTCATCAAGACCATATTTTCCTTTGTTTGTTTGTTTTTTTTTTTTTTGAACATACTCATAATAGCTGATTTAAGTTATCTGCCTGCTAAATCCAACATCTGGGCCATCTTGGAGTCAGTTTCTATTGACTGCTTTTTCTTCCCCCTTACTGTGAGTCACATCTCCTTGTTTCTTTGCATGTCTAGTGACTTTTAATTGTATACTGGGAATTATGGATAATATGTTGTAGAGACTCTGGGTTGAATTTTTTTTTTAACAATTTTTTTTAATGTTTATTTTTCACAGAGAGAGAGAGACAGAGCATGAGTGGGGGAGGGGCAGAGAGAGAGGGAGACACAGAATCCGAAGCAGGCTCCAGGCTCTGAGCTATCAGCACAGAGCCTGACGTGGGGCTTGAACTCAGAAACCGTGAGATCATGACCTGGGCTGAAGTCGGACGCTCAACCGACTGAGCCATACAGGTGCCCCGAATTTTTGTTTTAATTGGCAGTTCAATTATTGATGATGAATCACCCTGAACTTGTATACACTTAGTTTTAAACTTTATTATGGTAGATATGTGAAATGCCAAGTTATTTGCCAATCCCATAAAACTTGTGGGACTGAACCTCCCAACTGTTTCCCCTGAGGATCTTGTCAGGGCTTAGTTTTAGGCTTTGTTAGGGTGGGTGGGTCTTGAGTAGACCTTACTCTAGGGCATGTAGAGTAAATAGGGTATTTCTGGTATTTTAGCTTGATCCTCATAGTAGGAAAAAAAGAGTGTTAATGTGGTGGTCTCTCCACTCAGTACTGCTCAGCTTCTGTCCCACTTTCAGCCCCATAGTGGCCACTGCCTAGTGAGCCTTATGTGATCTCACACTGTGCAGGTATGATCCAGCAACCCATCCCAGAGACTTCTGGACCTCCACCCCTACAGCTCCCTTCTTCCTCTTCTCCTGCACCCTGTCCCACAGATTCTAGCTGCTTTGGCTGCTCCAAACCCTGATCTCTTCTTCCTTAGCTCAGAGGCACTGCCATACTCTGTTTGGACTCCCGTGTGCTGCACCATGGTCAGAGAAATTGTCCCTAAGCAAAGTACCAGCGCAATCATGGGGCTCACTTTGTCAGTTTCACTTCTCTCAGCAATCACAGTTTCCAGTCTGTGTCCTATGTCTGGAAACATTTATTGCAAGTATTTTATCCTGTTTTATTTATGGTTGTTTACAGCAGGGTGGCTAGCCTAGTACTAGACACTCCATCAGAGCTGGAAGTAGAAATCTATTTTAACAAGAAGCTTACTTTGGAAAACTACTTAAGGGCGTAATCAGTTTTCCCAAGAGCCTCCTGCAATCCCGTAATTTTCCCATGAGTTTCACTGGAAGCACTTCCTGTGTCATGCCATAATACTTATTGATTATCTCTTCAATTGTTACCTGGTCTAACTTTTCAAAGATGGCTTTGTCTGTAATTTGAGCAGGTGTCCGACATCACTCCTATTGATTTTGTGAAACCCCACATCTTTAAGAGACTTGGTGTTTCACTTTGCAGTTGATTTGCGTTGTGTTTGCATGACATTGTTGGCTGCTTCTAACATTACACATTCACTGTAATATTATATTGGCTAAGTGGCAGGGATACACATATTCATTCATGTTACTTGGGGTTGGGGCCAGAGATGGTTAGAGGTTCCCTGATTTTACATTTATAATTAATTAGTGAATATTTCCTGAGGATTTTGCTTTCCTGTACAACCTTGTAACAGTGGACACTTTAGTAATGAATAGTCATATAATTCAGATAACAAGGAACTCTCCCACCCACAAAGTGTGTTGTGATTGGGAAGGGGTAAAGGAATGTATAAGAGAAAGGCCAGGAAAGAAAAGTGGTTAGTAGCTGAGCACTAAGGAGGGCACTAGGGAGGGCATGTGTGGGAGTCTTGGCATTAGGACTGTGGGAAGTGGGCACTGGGAGCCCCGTGCCTCCTTTGAGAGCCTTTGAGTTGGAGCTGGGCCAAGCAGTCTCTGAGGCCAACCAGAAGATTGTGTCTCAATGAGACCTGGCCTGTATCCCCATGAAGCCCAGCTTCTATGCCTGGGTTCCCCAAGGGATCATCCTTCAGGAGTTGATGCTTGGTATTAGATTGTGTTTGGGGGCAGGCCAGTGTCAGCCTGCAGGCCTGGGGTAAATACTGAGACCTGGAGACTTCACCTGGAGTGGTCATGATGGACCAGCCTCCCATATTCCTGACGCCTTTGACATTAGCAAAGGGGCCTGAATTGTGACCTAAGAGTGGGAGGTATAAATTTAGGCTGATTTTCCAGAGAGATTAGACCCAGGGTGGCCAACCAGAGGCCTGGGCTGACCAGGGCTCTGGCGGTGGGAGGAGAACGTGTGCAGCTTTCCCTCTTCACTGTCATTTTGCCTAGGTGGCTGGGAACCTGGAGATGGCTATGGGGGAAACAACTGGGCCCCCTTCGGGAGCTTCCTGCCCATATATGAGAGCCCCATTTAAGGCCTGGTATCATCATGGTTTCCTGGGCACTATTCCCAATTTGCTGTGCCCTGGTGGGGCCCGGTCCCCAAATCCTGATTCTTTGGCTGGTGTCCATCACCCTATAGCTGATGTGATGTGGAGCCACCATGGGGCAGGTCCCAGTGTTGCTCTGTGGAGACGTGGTCTCCCTCCCATGTGGGCAGGGGGGAAATGGAAGCTGGGAAAGGCAAGCAATGGGCTCCCATGAGGCCCCTGCAAGTCAGGTTAACGTGAAGGAAGAGAATTTAGGAAGTGCCAGAGAAGATGAGGCTCCTTAAGCAGGTAAGGAAAGAGGCAATGGCATGTATCCATGTGTCTCAGGAAGCACCGAAATGTCTGGGTCTCCTTTCATCTGGAGATTGGTAAGGCCAACAAATAAGTGTTTATTGCTGCTTGCAGCATCCAAGGCAGTAATGATGTTTTACCCTTCAGTTTCAGGAAGAAACTGGAAGAATTTTGCCCTGGTTCCCCTCTTAAGAGACACAAGTACAAGAGAAAGGCACCCTGGCCAGCCGGAGGAGGTTCATCTGAGGCACTTTGCAGGTTCCCTCAAGCCAGAAGATGCTGAGGTCTTCAAGGATCCTGCTGCTTTAGGGGAGAAATGAGCGACCCCTACAGGGTCCTCTTAACACTATTGGGCCTCAGGATATGCCACTGCTGCCATACGGCACTCTCAGCAGCCTGGCCTGGTCTGTGCCTGCCTCGGCACTTTCCTCGCCTGCCCTGGACAAGCTGTGTGAAGCACTGTTGGATGCCTGGGAAGAGATAGCCATCCAACCCTCACTGTCCCCAAGTGAGTCTCCTAAAAGGAAAGGATTTTGCTCGCTCTCTCTCTTTTTTTTTTTTTTTAACAGACTTTGTTAAGTATCATGAATGATGTATCTTTATGTGGACGTATGTGATGCCCCTATTTTATTTTATTTTCTATCACTAGGACTAAAAGTGAATGAGGCCCAGGAAAACACCTCTTAGAACAAAAGGTTAGAACACCTCTTAGAACATGTCCTTCAATGTAAAATGCCAAAGCTGTTCTCTGTATTGGGTTTAATACCTTCCTTGAAGAAAGCGGTCTGGGGGTGATGTCGTTTATTCCTCAGAGAAGGTGGGGGAGGCTGGCCCTATTCCCAGCTCTGGTGGAATCAGGTTTTTCCAGAGTGACTTCCTCCTTCTGTGTGATCCATCACAGTTCCAAAAATTTTAGCTCTATTGCTGTTCAGATGAAAGTATGGAACCCTGTCTCAAAAGCATGTGGCAAGAGTTTTTTAATGATCTTCTATTTGTTGTGACCATAGTCCTGCTCCCCTGCAGTGGTATGTATCTCCACCTCCATCCATCCTGTTGTCCATCAAATACATAAGTAAGTAAGCAAGTAAATAAATAAATAGGTAAATATCATATCAAGTGTGAACTTTGTGCCAGTCACTGGGCTAGCATAGCGAGTTGGCTCTGTGGTGTGTGTGTGTGTGTGTGTGTGTGTGTGTGTGTGCATACTACCGAGGCTGGGACAGTTAGTAAGGTTACACAGTCAGCAAAGAGCATTGCCTGGGTCTGACCCCAGGCAGTGTGACTCCAAAGCCTGGAACTTACCTGCAGTGCCAGGCAACCTGGCAGAGAAGGTGCTGGGGCATGCCAGTCCATCCCTGGGGAAGGGAGACGTGCTTCCTCTTGTGGGCCTGAGACCCCTCGCTTTATCTGTAAGCCTTTCTCTGAAGGTGTCACGTAGATGTCAGATATTTGCAACTTTCAGACTTACTCAGAGCTGGAAGGAAGCTTGTGGGTGTCCTTTTGTAAAATGAATGATCATAACCTTTTGTGTAAACCTGCGTTGTTTAAAGAAGGACACATGCAACTAGCCCATTCTTTCCCCTTTGTAGCGGTCACTGTCTCCTTATTTCTCTCTGTCTCTGTGTCCCTCCCTCCATCACCTGGAGGCAGGATGAGCCACAAGCCAGAATCCTCAATGGGGAGGCTGCTGAGCTCTCCTAGCCCGGAGATATCTGTGGCTTGCTAGGATGCAGACAGGGCTTCTCCTGACCACTGTCAGGGTGGATCTGTTCAGGCCTGAGGCAGTTGATGGAGCTCTGCCTGGCTCTTAGTCCTTCCTCCTTCTTCACTGCACCAAATGGGGTATTTCCTAGAGCAGGTCAAGGCTTTGGCCCATCCCTGTGTGCACTCACCCCTTCTCTTCCACCTCTTTCTTCAGGGGAGAGCTTGTGTGCCTGCCACCAGAGCCTGATGTCTGCAGGGCTTGGGGGGTGTAGGGAGGAGGTGAGGTTGTGCTTGATTCCTGCCCAGTATGTCCTTTGTGGTCGTTTTACAGTTCAGGGCAGACAGACGCTGACCCCAGTCTGGTGAGATGGGGCCCCACGTAGGGCAAATGTCCAGGGGCTGCCTAAAATTCAGGCCTCTAGGGAGCGAGATTAGGGCGGGAATATCTAACGGCTGCCCTTTTCCCTCTTGCTGCCCCATCCTATCCGGGCCACGGCTGCATTTCCCCTTTGTGTTTTGTTCCGCACGCACAGCGCATCTGGGAGGTTCCTTTGGTCACTGTTTTCTTTTTTTTAGGCTCTGCTTGTTTCATGCACCGTCACAGAAGGAGCTGAAGTCACTGATAAAGGGTGGGCACAGCATGGCTCATGGCTGCTACAAGAAACGAGGAGCTGGATTGCGGAGGGCAGTTTATTGGTCCTTCCAGGTTCCCAGGCCCCGGTGCTGCTGTGACTGAGTGCTAAAAGTCACCCATGTGGTGTCCAAGGCTGAGTGCGCAATACTGGGTTCTGCGGGGCTCCAGGCTTGGCAGAAGAAGGCTGGACTCCTGGCTCCACTGTTCTATGAGGGCCCCAAACACGGGTGGGAATCCGTCTCACCTGCAGCCCCAGCAAGTGCAGCCCGGGGTTCCATTGGCGGAGGTGTTGTCTTTGGTCTGGGGTGCTGACTCAGCTGAGCTGGGTCAGTTCCCTGCCTGACCGCACTGGTGACAGCATCCCCAACAGGGCCCCTTCCCCCTTGAGGCTGGACCAGCGCAGCCTTCTGTGATTAAGGGGTCAGGGCTGACTCAGCGGCTTGGGGCCTGACTTGCAGCTCCTGTCTGCTACCCCACCGAGCTTGTGTGTCACCCAAGCTCATCACCACTCCTTGAAAGTGCCTGGATCTCTTGCCTCCCAGTCCTGCTCCTGTTGTTCTTCCTGTGTAGGCAGTCCTCCCTCCTTCCAAGTTCAGCCCAAATGCTCTTGCTTCCCTGAGCCCATCCCTGACTTCCCCATGGGAGGGATTTCCTTCCCCCTCAGTGACCTCAGCCCTTTTTGTCCTTATGACCTGCCTAGTGGGGCCATGGTTCCTGCCTGAGCCTGTCTCCTGTGTGGCCCACAGTTTCTTGAGGGTGGAGACTGCTTTCTCCAGTTCTGAATCCTACACTGGCCCCTGTTTCCCTGCCTTATCTCCTACTGTGGGCCCTCACAATGTGTTGGTTTAAACGGGATTGAATGCAAACCAGCTCAAATGGCAGGAGCTGCTGTTTCCTTGTATCTGGGGTAGGAGGGTGGGGGGTAGTGGCTCTGACTCTGTCGTTGACCTGCTCCCTGCTCCATGCACAGCAGAGGAGGCTCCCCTTACTCCTTGCTGGGCACAGTGAGTGTATTTGGGTGGAGGACAGGGGCCTTTTAGAGCAGCTCTAGCCTGGTATTTGAGAAAAAGTGCTAACACCAGGCAAAGTGTAAACATTGAAATTTGGCAACAGCTTCACCCCTAGGGTTCTGAGGCAGTGAGAAGCAAGCTAAAAGGGACAAGGGGCTGAGTCAGAGGGGCAATTAATTGAATCTTAGAGGGAAGACGATGATTGATCCAAGATCAGGCTTTCATGAAGGAGTTTCAGGCAATGTTTGTGGGAACCGGGCCCCCCTTGATGTCAAACTGCAAGAGCGGGGACCCTACTTCACCCACACTAAAGCCTCTTGGCCCCAAAGCCAGATTTCCTGCCCCTTACCGGCCACAGGTCCTGCTGCCCCGTGGTCAGAAGCCTGAGCCTGCTTCCTGCCTCTTTCCAGGCCTGGCCGGTTGTGGTGATGAGAGCCAGAGGGCCTTGCCCCAGATGACAGTTGGGGAAATCCCTGCTGCATCAGTCACGGGTGCCACATCCCTGTCAGCAACACTTCCTGCTCCCTCCCAGTCCTGTCTTGCCAGCGGGAACAGGTATGCAATTCCTGAGTGACAAGAGACAGGCATGGCTGCCCCAGCCTTGCTCCACCCCCTTCACAGCTGCAGCCTGGGTGAGGAGGGGGGCAGAGTCTTCCCCATGGTCTGGCCTGTTGGCAGGTGGCCCAGGTGGTCCAGGAGAATCAACTGGGATGATAAAGCCAATATGAATTAATAGCTGTTATTGTTTCTTGAGTCCTTTCTGTGCTCTCGGCCTTGTTCAAGTCCTTTCTGTGTGTTTTCTCAAGTAATTCTGCAAGGTGGATTTATTATGCACATTTCACAGGTGGGAAACGGGAGGAATGACTGGCTCAAGGTCATATAGCCAGAAAGGGGTGAGGCTGTCTGGCCCCAAGGTCTGAAGTGCATAATATCTGGTTGTAAGCTTTGAGTGGGGGACTTCCTTTGTCTTTGGAAAGGTCTGATCCCAGACTTTGACGGACAGATACCAAGTCTCGGGCTGGCCACCTTTGGATCAACCAGGCCAGTGCTTGGCTGTGGCCTTTCCTCCCAGAGCTCAGGGCAGAGCACTTGACCATTCATTAGGCTCTCTCACCAGCATGATCTCTTTGACTTTTCACAGCATCCATGGGAAGTAGGTATTATAATTCCCATTTCTCAGTTGGGGAAACCGAGGCTCATGATACACCAAATACAAGAGAGAAAAGAGTTGGGTCCAGAACTTCAGCCTTGGCACCTGCTGCCTCCCCTGCCTTCTTCCAGGTTGGGCTGCTGTGTGGGTGTGGGGGTGACTCAGGCAGGGCATGTGGGTGGGCGGGCGCTGCAGCTATGGCTGGTGGGTGTGGCCTGCTTGGCGCCTAGGGCAGGTGGCCCAGCCAGTTCTGCCTCCGACGCCTCATTTCAGCCATCTCCCTGCCTATGATGAGAGCCTCCCGCCGCCTCAGCCATAGTCCCTCTGGGGGTCCTTGGGCCTGGGACATGCGGTGATCTCAGAGCAAGGGCAGCCACCACCACCCGGACCTTACCAGGTGAGTCCTCACCACACATGGCAACCAGTGCCCTCCAAGGTCCTAGAGGACCCTAGGGCAAAGACCTAAGGGGTCCTTTAGGTCACATCCACCCTTTGCTGATAGGCCTTGGGGGAGGGGGTGGGAAGCAGCTTGGATCTCTAGCAGGAGAAACATAGTTAGACGTGAGCTCTTGGCCCAGGGCACAGGTTCTGTGCCAGAGCACAGGTTCTGATGGACCCAGGAAACTTCCCTGAGGTTTGGAGATCTTGAAGAGGGGGAAAGGCTCACACCCTCCAAGGGGCAGAAGTGAGGTTCTTGTCCCCACCAGCAGGCCCCAGGGATGTGGCTTTCCGGGGCAGGAGTGTAAGGGGGTAAGGATGAGATGAGGTAGCCCAGAGCTTGAGAGAGACAAGGCCCAGGCAACTCACAGGTGCTGAGCCAGCAGCTGCAGGGGCTCCCCGTGGCCCCCAGGCCTGGTCTGTCTTCCAGGGAAGGCCATTCCAGTCAGTATCAGGACTTGGGAGGCACTTCCCAGGTGAGGAAGCCCAATCCCAGAGACAGGGAGGGCAAGGCAGCGAGAGAGTCCCACAGGTGAGAATGCAGGGTTTGTGGGGTGACTCAGGGAGCTAATTATCACTGCTAATTATAGCTTCAGACCAGAGTTTTCTTGACCCTCTCCTGCCCAGCTTCCCAGAACTGCCCCAACTCATGGGCCCACGGCAGGGAGGAGGGAGCAGCCAGCTGTCATAGGTGAGAGCCATAGGGTCCTTGGGGTCCAATCAGCCCATTTATCAGAAGAGAAAACAGAGGCCCAGAGAGGGGTAAGAGACATGCCCTCCATCCCTCTCCTTCACTCTTGGTTTAGCTCAACCTTTTAGCCGTATCTGGCCATAGGCCACTGTGGGCTGAGGAAGGTTGTAAAGGCCACCCAGCCTCATCCTGTAACTGTGGATACAGTCAGGGACCCACATGATCATGATTCTCTCTCAGTAGGATACTCCACCCACCTGGCCTTAAGGCCCCTCTTCAAAGGTCCTTGCCCCAAGGTACCTGCATTCCAACACCAAAGCCCTCCCCTGGATAACTCCTCCTTTCCCAGGGCTGCTAATTTTGGGGGAGGATGCCTGTCCCATTTCCCAACCTCACTGTGGTCTGATGGCGAACTGCTCTGGACACTTTTTCCAGGAACTTTTCCTATTTGGACCAAGGTTACCAGTGGCCCCGGCTCCATCTCA